CGAAAACCTTAATTTATGTATGAGAAAATAACTTGAACTTACTAAAAAAGCGATCAGCTTCTCTAAAACTGCTCTAAAAAATAAAACAAATACTGCTTAAAATGTTTGTTGTACTAAATAAACTATTTTACCAGTCAATTTAGTTCTAACTTAATCTAAAAAATGAAAAATAAATACATATTTAGATACCTTAAAATGAAGAATAACACAACACCCTTTTGACAAATTCCAGAAGAAATTTTTTTTATTTTTCTATTCTCAATTATTTTTGCTAAGAGAAAATACATATAGATATACATATATATATACATAGCAAACTAACAATTATTTAAATTTTTATTTTAAAAAACAAACAACATTAATTCTTCTTGAAAATAAATGTATCAGCTCCAATTTGATTGCAGATTTTACTCGAATGACCGCATGGAATATATAACTGCGCTTAGAAAATTCTAGAGGCAAAGAAATAGTATATTTTACATAATGCAGAACCGTAATTAACAAAACGAACAATAGGCGTAACAATGCGTAACTATGCGCACTATTAATATTCATAGGCTATTCATTATAGGCGGATATATATATATATATATATATATATATATATATATATATATATATATATATATATATATATATATATATATATATATATATATATATATATATATATATATATATTTATATATATATATATATATATATATATTTAAATATATATATATATATATATATATATATATATTTATATATATATATATATTTAAATATATATATACATATATATATATATTTAAATATATATATATATATATATATATATATATATATATATATATATATATATATATATATATATATATATATATATGCAAAGATTTGTAATATCTTGGCTGTAGAAATAGGTAAATGGATAAATAAATTGTATATATTTTGTTGTTCCTGTGTTGTTTCATTCCATTTTATGATTTTTCCATCATGGGTTGTATAAATAATTATTAAGATTATTACGTATGTTGACACCTTGTTACTGTGTTGTTTCATTTAATTTGATGTATAGTTATTTATATATACATGATTTATACATTATATTATAATGTTTATATGATGCTTACATATTCATTATATATATATATATATATATATATATATATATATATATATATATATATATATATATATATATATACATATATATAATATAATATGTATATATTAATTTATATATAACACAGACACACAAAATATCAATACTATTCTATAAAACACAAAGTGAAAAGTCTTGGTGCAATTTTGATGTCTTTTGTTAAAATTCCCTCATTATACTTGTAACTTAGTTACTCTTTTATTTAAATATTGTATCGATTATAGTTTATAGATCATAGAGTATAGAATATAGAAAATTAAAAAATATCTTTAAACGATAAATAACTAAACAAAATAATAGTCTTAAAATAATCAACCAAAACAAGTAGACATATTTAAATAACCGAGTTTGCGCATAATATTGTATGCACCAAGTGATAGTATTAATTTTTTTACTTATTTTCAAGGTAATTAGGACGTCTTATGTAGGTCTTAGTGACGTCAATAGGACGTCTAAATATTGAAGTCCTGATATCGTCTTTATATTAACGTCACAAGGACGTCCTAACAAAGACGTCTTTACCAGACGTCTTTAGGACGTCCTAATTTGGTCTGAGACGTCGCGACCTAGTAAGACGTCCGTAAGATGTTTGATTCACGTCTGTGCCCGCTGGGAGGAAGAGTCAAATGAGTATCACATTTAACCAACTGGTCGTTTGGAAAAGTTACCATGTCACACGCAAGCTTTAGAATGTTAGGTAAAGATGATGACAGGTGTTTCTGCTTTGTTTTGTGACAAGAGAGACGTGTCAAGTATATTAATGTTTAGCTTATTATAATACAAATAAGTATGATTTTAATTCTATGTACATTAATACTATATAGTAAATGCATCTGTTTAATTTAAAAACTCCTTTGAAATAACCTAGTAATAGACTAAAAAAAATGCATTTGAAAGGAAGGATATTTTAAAACATTATTTGGAAGAATGTTTCAAATTAATATTTGAAATAAAAATTTTAATTAGATTAAGTTCTGAAAATTTGTTAATTTTGGCCAAATATTGCTGCAGAGGGTAATTAGTGACAAGTTTTGCTCACCATAGTCTAATTTGCTTATAACTATATAAAAATCAGGAAATATTATAGAATTTCTATGAAAAAAAATTATGAATCTACTCTATTAAACATAATGATATCAAACTATAATGTATACAATATCATAGTATAAGATGTTTCATGGACAGCAAGTTTACATTGGCCAACGTAAGTTTTAATATTGGCAAATTTATTATGTTGGGCCAACATTAAGTCAATAGCTGTTTTTTGGCATAATATTTTGATTCTTTAAATCAGTTGTTTGCAAATATCGTACTTTGTTGGGCCAACATTTGGCGAGTGTAGCATTGGACTAATATTTTGCTATAAAAATTTGAATACCATTGCTCTGTTGAGCCAACATTTGGAAAATGTAAACGCGGATCAATTTTTTTGTATTTTTTTAAAATTTGCTGCATATAAAAATTTTTTAAATTGTATCGCAGGCCTTGATTTAAAGCCTTACGCCTAGAGCGATTTTTACGTACGCGTAGAGCTGTTTTGATTAAGCTACTTTTTATCATTTTTTAACTTTTAAATTAGCGGTAACATAAAAGAAGTATTTAATTTTTAAAAAAACCACATTAACTTTTAAATAATGATATGTAAAGGTATTTATTAAAAAAAAGAATTAATTTAAAAATAATTGTTGTAACTTTTCATCGCGATATATCATTCCTTTTTATAGCAATTAATTTGACGCTAAACTTTTTATCCAAATATTTAGCAACATGAAAAAGTGTTTGTCAATCCTTATCTTACAAATTTTTTGCAATGTTTTTAATAAAAAGTAGTAATTTTTTAAAGTTTTCAGTAAAAAATCTTTTAAAAAATCTATATTCCATATTTATTAAAACTGAATATAAATGTTTTTTGTAATATAGATTTTTTAAGAATTTTTTACTGAATTTATAATAAAAAACATTTGCAAAAAAATTTGTAATTAAGAATTGACTTTTCTTATTTGTTTAAGGTATATAAATACCTTTACCTTTAAGTTATGCGGGGGGAGGGGTCGGCACAGAAAAAAAAATTACCTATTCTTCGCAATATTTGAATGAAAACAATTTGTTAAATTTCTTCTGCTTGCGATTCAATAAGTTTTTTTTTTCATAAATCAAGTTATATTATAAGGTAAAGAAATCATGAGTAGACTACAACATTTTTTTATTTTTTTTTTTTATTTTACTTCACCTCCTCAAGGCCGAGAAGGCCACTACAGACGAGGAGGCTACTTATTTTGTGGCTAAAACCCTCTCTCAACTCTATAACTCCGAAACACGAACCTTGACGAACAAGGCCGCTGCGCGGAGAAACGAGTTGAGCGCGGTACTACCAGGGACGTGGTGGGGATCGAACTCGGAACCACTCGTTTATGAAGCGAGCGCTCTACCACTACACCACTACCGCATATCACTACAACATCCGCTGATGACACTAATATTACGTTGAATATATTTATATAACGAAGGTTTCATTATGCACGCGCACATTACAGGTTCCGTTAAATAAATACTAAGGCAGTTTTAGTTTAATGACAGTCTCCATTTTTTACTAATGAATATGTATTTTTCTTTATAAAACAAAACAAACTAGTATATAAAAACCTTGTATATTTCTATAATCTCTAAATTGTTTAAAGTTCGAATATGGATTGTATTTTGAAGGATAAAAGATTTACTTAAAAAACTTTTAAATCTTGGGACTTTGCCGATGCTTTGCCGATGCGATGATCGCAGAAAAAGAGAAGACTTACGTTATTAAAATCAAATGTAAGTTATGTGATCTTCGTCAAAATAAAATATTATCCAAAAACAATGGTGCCGTCATGTTAAAATATATTAACATGTTACTATATTTTAATTAAGTTGATATATAATTAAAAATAAAAATATAGTTCAATAAATAAATTAAATTTGTTCTTAACAAAGAATACCTCACATTTATTGTTTTTTTATTTTATTAAGTTAAATTGCTTACAAACGAAAAAAAAAAGAGTTTTGTAATTATACTTAATTTTTAATAAACAAATTTATTATAAACAGATACGATTCAAATTATTAAATATACTTAAATTATTTCAGTTGAGTATTTCTTTAAGTTTGCACAATTAAAGTTTTGCTTAGTAGTGTTTGTTTTTTTGTTTTAAGAATAATTAACAAAAGAGTTTGCATAATTAGGACATTTATATTTAATTTAACTTTTTTTTTTTTTAATTTCTTAAAATTTAAAAAAAAAGATTTAATCGTTAAAAACGATTTTTCTCTATAGCTCTGTTTCTTTGTGATTTGTTTAAAAAGTAAAATATTTTTACAATAGCGTAAAAAAGTTATGAAATAAATTCCTGGTGAACGCATTCTAAACTTAGTATCAAAAATATGCTCAAAGCAGACAAAACATTTTTTATTTTTATAAAACGCAAGTTGAAACGCTAAACAAGATAAGTTTAAAAAGAATTTAAAAATCTAAACTTTTCTTTGCTTGTCAAAACAAAATCGTTGTTTAAATAATTAACATGGGTTTGTGTTTATCAACGAATAAAAACAATTATTCAAAAACAAATTTCAGAAATAATTAATATATATATATATATATATATAAATAATTAATATATATATATATATATATATATATATATATATATATATATATAATATATATATATATATATATATATATATATATATATATATATATATATAATATAGTTAACCTTATTACACAGGGACTTATTACACAGGGACTAAAAAGTTTCAGTATGTTTTTTTCCGTATATATATATATATATATATATATATATATATATATATACGGAAAAAAACACATACCGAAACTTTTTAGTCCCTGTGTAATAAGGTTAACTATATTATAACTAATATATTATGGTTAATGCAAAAGAATTCAAAGACTGGAGAGTAAACTAAGAATTGAATATGAATCAAAGATTAGTAATGCTGTAGCAGATTTGAAAAAAACAATACAATCATTAGTATTAACAGTTGCTGATTTAACTAAAAAGAATGAAGATTTAAACAACAAAGTTGTAAATGTTATTGTTCCTGCTCCGAATGAAGCTTGGAATATTGTAAGAGGTATAAAATTAAATAAAACTCAATCTCAGATTGATATTATTAATAGAGTTTCGAATGAAAATAAAGAAATTGAACGAAGAGAGAAGAACGTAATTATTTTTGGTTTAGAAGAATCCAATAAAACTGATGGCGCAGATATAAAGAAAGATGACGAAAACAAAGTATTAGATTTATTGGATCAAGTATCAATAGATAAACTTCATATTGTTCGTATTTATAGATTAAAATCTAAAAATGGTATTGCACCAGTAATTGTCGAGTTAAGAAATAAGGACACGAGAAATGACTTTATAAAAAAATCATACCGTAAGTTTAATGGTATTTATGTAAATCCTGATTTAACTGATGCTCAGAGAAACTTGGATAAACAACTCAGGGATAAATGTAGAGAATTAAATAAACCACTCAACCTAAAAGTCGATTAGGACCAAGTTAAAAGCTATCACGTAATTAGAAATAAACAAGTAGTGTTGATAAACAAATAGCAATTGTTGTTCAAGTCATCACAGTATAACACACATAATTTTAAACATTCTTTACATACACCTTGTCAATATATATATATAACCAATTAAATAACCCTGACGCAGACACTGGAGGAAGTACTCATTTGAACTCAAGTGCTAATACACTGCTGGTAAAGAAAATGAATCAAGACCTTCAAAAAGGTTTAAAAACAGAAAATATCGATTATTTAACATGGTGGTATACAAATGCGACCTCTTTAAATAATTAATTTGACGAATTCATTGATGATATATCCAGATCTAAGGCTCAAGTTATATTTGCTTGTGAGACTTTGTGGTCAGCAATGTCTACTACTAATATTCCTGGTTATAATCTGTTTAGAAAAAATCGTCAATTTAGTCGTGGTGGTGGTGTATGTATTTATATACAAGAGAATATTAAATCTTATGAAATAAATGAAAAATATCTAATAAATGAAAATATTGAGCAAGTATGGTGTTTGATTGAAATTGGCAAAGAGCAAATCTTATGTGGTTGTATGTACCGGACAGGTTTTAGTAATAGTGAAAAGTGTATTGACATTATAAAATCATTAAAACAAGCATATGTACTCAAACAAAATAACAAATGCTCTGGTATTTTAATATGTGGTGACTTTAACTATGCAAACATCAAGTGGAACGATGAAAGTTTTAGTGAAATTATAAATGACAGTGGCACAACAGAAAGTATGTTTATTGAGTCGTTACATGACTGTTACCTGCACCAAAATGTTATCAGTCCTAGTTTTCAAGTAAAGTTGGCATTGATACTAACATTTTAGACCTCATTTTGACTGATAATAGCAACAGAGTTTATTTTCTTGAACATTTTCCACCGTTAGGTGGTATCGATCATGGTCATCATATTTTGAAATTTCGATTTGGTTATGAAAATAAACCTAATTTATTAATATCACTACGAGGAAGACAAAATTTTTGTGGAAAAATGGAAACTATAAAGCGTTAGATTTGTATTTTAATAACATAAACTGGATAAATGAATTTGAAGGACTAAGTGTTAATGAATGTTACAAAAAATGGCTTAGAAAATATGAAATAGGATGTGAAAAATATATCCCAACGCTAAATTTAGATAAAAACTCTTTTCAACTAAAAAATACCTCATTATGGATGACAAATGAACTTAAAAGCATGTGAAAAGAAAAGAAAAAATGTTGGTTTAAAAACAGAAATTCAGGTTTTAAAAGTCTTTTAGAAGTCAATAAGTATAAAAAATTATATAAAGATATAAAAAAACTTGTCAAGAAAAGTATTCGCAATTTTGAAAAAAACTTGGCACTTAATTCAATAACCAATTCTAAAAGTGTCTATGCTTATATAAACAACATAACAAGATTTAAAGACTCGATCAAAGCCATAAAGCTACATAATGGTATTATAACTACTGATAATCAAGAGATAGTAAACACTCTTAATGAATTCTTTGCTTCTGTGTTTATACAAGATGACTCAATAGAAGAAGTTTTAGATGACAATCTTTTAACAAAATGTTCTGATCCAGATTTTAGTATTTCTATTATTCAGAAACATTTGAGTAATTTAAACATGTACAAATCAGTAGATCCAGATAATGTTCACCCAAAAGTTTTAAAGGAATGTTCAGAATCTTTGTCAAGTTCTTTAGCAATAATATTTGTTAAATCGTTTATTACAGGATCTATTCCAAAGTTATGGTCATGTGCAAACGTTGTTCCGTTATTCAAAAAAGGAAATAAACTAGATTCAACAAATTATAGACCAATTTCATTAACATCAATTGTTGGTAAAGTTATGGAGAGAATTATTAAAGATCATATGATGGTGTTCCTCATTGAAAACAATTTAATTTCTAAAGAGCAACATGGTTTTGTTCATAACAAAAGTTGTATAACAAACCTGTTAGAAACATTAGATTTAATCACGCAAGCGTATGAAGAGGATATTTCCGTTGATGTTTTATTTTTGGATTTTAAAAAAGCATTTGATACAGTCTCTCACACGAAATTACTGAAAAAATTATTCAGACTAGGATTTGTATCATCTTTGTTAAATTGGTGTAAATCATTTTTTGTCAGACCGAACACAGAGGGTTGTGATAGGGGAATATATTTCAAGTTAGAAGATGGTTACTAGTGGAGTACCACAAGGTTCAGTACTAGGACCTCTTTTGTTTGTATTCTTCATTAATGACTTATGTAGAGGGATTATTAAAGACACTAAATTATATACAGACGATACCAAAGTTATCTCAATCAATCATTGTTATGATGATAATAAAATATTACAAGAGGATATTAACAGGTTAGTTAAATGGTCTGAAGATTGGTTAATTACATTTAATGAATCAAAATGTAAAGTCATGTATATTGGCAAAAAGAATCCAAGATATGAATATAAATTGAACAACTCTGTTTTAACAGAAACAATGATAGAAAATTATCTTGGGATTTTCATTTCAAATAATCTAGAGTGGAAATATCATGTTAATTCAGCTATAGGTAAAGCAAACAGAAAATTAGGCATGATCAAAAACTCTTTTAAGTATTTGGATGAACTTTCATTAAAGTTACTATACAAATCGTTAGTACGTCCCCATTTGGAATATGGAGCAACAGTTTGGAGTCCATTTTAGAAAAAGGACATTGACAATCTTGAAATCGTGCAACACAGGGCTACGAGAATTGAATCTTTAAGGGGGAAGTCGTATGAAGAAAGATTAAAGATACTTGAATTGCCAACTTTGTTTGATAGAAGAAGAAGAGGTGATCTGATTCAAATGTATAAGATCTCAAAAGGGAAAGATATTGTTAATTTTCACCATCCTCCTTTAAATTTTGAGCTGGAGCGATCTAGTAGAAGTAACAATTGTAGAATACGCAGACAATTTACAAAATCAAGAATTCGTCATCATTTCTTTACAAACAGAGTTATAAATGATTGGAATTCTCTTCCACAATATATATTAGATAAAGATAATTTGAACATTTTTAAAAACAGTATCGATAATTATTTCGGTTTCTAAACACTAATTTTTGTAATCGGCTGTCATAGTCTTAATTCTACGTAATTAAGACTCTACACACCTCAAGTGTGTACAGCACCTTTTCTATTCTATTCTATTCTATTCTATTCTATATATATATATATATATATATATATATATATATATATATATATATATATATTACTAAATAATACTGAACTAAAATTAATAATAAAATAACAATTAAAAACATTACAAAATTTTCATAATAAATTTACATTTAAAGCGTTTATAGTTAATTGTTAATTGTTAAATTGAACTAGTTTGCGGTTATTTATTTATTGCGGTAGTTAAAACACTTAACGTCTATAAAAAAAAAAAGATAACTTTATGACGTCAAAATCTCGTTAAGCTAATGCATTAAGCACTTTTTTATTTAAAACAAGGCCTGTATCGTAAAGCAAAGTAAAGAGACATTTTGGTATCATCTTTCATGATACCAAAATGTCTCTTTACTTTGCTTTACGATACAGACGCATTACTGCAATCTAAATTTTCTAAATAATAATAAAAGCAATAATAAAATTATTTTCGTGTATGATCTTACAGTTAATTTTTTCCTTAAATTATTCATAAGTTAAATTTTTAGTTCATAAATGTATTAAAAATACCTGTATATTGTACATCATTAGTGTCATTAGAAATAAAATTTTAAAATATGACTACTACAGTCGCTGTAACAGTGGCTTTTATATATGTAACATGTAACAATGTAACAGTGGCTTTTATATATATAGTGACTACTAGTAGTCACTATATATATAAAATTTTACTAAAGTACTTTAGTCACTGTTACAGTGACTAAAGTACTTTAGTCACTGTAACAGTGGCATAGTTATTAGAAGCTGATGTTTTACATTTTAAATATGTTTCTTTTATTTGATTTTTTTTTGTGTTTGATTGTGAAGCCCCATCTATTAACATATTAACACAGTGTACAAAAAAGGATGTTGCTATATTCTAAATTCTAATTATGTATAGCTTTCTAATATTGCCAGACATTTTGTTTTAACACAAATAACTAGCCTATAATAATTGATTGAATCATGAAATTAAAAAAAAAAAATCATTAATAACTATTAAAATTAAAAAACTCAATTTAAGTCATGATTTTTTTTAGTCAAATTTAAATCAACTGATTTAAGTTATTCCATTTAAATCAAAACAATCCTGTGTATATTCCATTTTTTTCAAGGAAAATAGACATTTTTCTTGGTTTTATTAGTTTTTAATTTATTTTTATTAGATATCGTTCATATTTTGATTGCATACAACATTTTACAACTTTAAGATTATACATTAACTTAAGATTTAACTTAATTAATAGATT